TTTGTGCTTGAGGAAAATGGTAAGTCATAAGATGTGAGAAACATATCGACTTTGACATTTTAGCTAAGTTAGTTTATCACCAGAGCTGTATAATGAATACCAGCCACGCCCCGCTTCGTGAGCGACGCTCGCTAGTAGTATAGTTGGCACAGCGCGTCATGCGCGGAAGCAGCACAAGAGCAGGATCAAGCACAAAGGGAAGCAGAAGAGCTGGCCAAGCGCAAAGAAGAAGCCAAAGAGCGTAAGAAGATAGCCTGTCTCCGTACCGTGATCTGGTGTCAGTGTGTGCATACCTACTGGCGCTGCGCGGAGGCCGTCGCATTACGATCCTTTTCTTGCCCCAGATATCGAGGCACAACTTACTGAAGACTTGCAACCGCTTGCAGCGAAATGGAAGGGTCTAGGCACCCAGCTCAGTGTTCCAGCAGCAGAGCTGGATGCGATAGCAGCAGAGCAAACTTGTTCAGAATGCCTCCGGAGAATCATCCAGGAGTGGCTAAAAAATGGCAAGAAGCACACGAAGGCAGACCTGGTGGAAGTTTTGAAGAAGCAAGCGGTTGGAGAAACGCGGCTTGCAAACCGTATTTCAGCTGCAGATGACAAAGGTTTGTATCATTAGGTATGTAAATAAACTAACACAATCTCTGTATAATACAACCGTAGTTATTCCAGATGATTTTGACGAGGACTCTACGCGTATTCTCTGTGAAGAGCTAAATGAGATTGCATACAAGTATAGTGAGCTCGGCCTACAGCTGTTAGGCACCAACAGTGCAGTTAAGAAAATCGAAAATAAAGTGAAGGATGTGAAACGCTACCTAGGTGAAATGATTGCAAAGTGGCTAGCAAATTATTACACAGGGAACCAGCCATTCGAAGATGTGTTGGTCGCCATTCGAAGCAAATCAGTAAGCGAAAAGGCACTTGCAAATACGTTGGAAACAAAATGGAAAGAGAAAGGATTCTGTAAGTCACTTCACCAATAACTGCTGTCACTCATAGCCAGGTTCCTCCCCCTCTCTCCAAACAGTGCCTGAAGAACCAGCCCCCGGCGATAATCAGG